CTGAACAAAAAGAAATAATGTTTCCTACCTTTTTAGCTTTGTTTTTTTTTCCTATATGGTAACATCTAAAAGAAAATATCTTATTTGTGTTAAAATTGATGAAATTAATTGACCACACAGGGAAGAAAAACAATCATTGTATACGTACTAAAAATGATAAAAAAAATTCGATTACCGACAAATGTTTTGCTTTTACGACAAAAGGCAATTATCATCAGCTTAAATTGTTAAAGTCGTTGTTGGGGTACTTGGTAAGTTGGTATTGTCAGTTAAAATTAGATAACCAAATATTTATATTTGATAGAAAGAAAAGAATAAAGTAGGAGTATTAGGTTAGCAGTCTTAAAAAAAATTTATTAGAATTCTTGACACAGTTAGGTAGTTTCAGATTATAATAACTAAAGCAAAGATGAGTCAAAGACTCGAAGAAAGTTATTTTTTTTTTTTTTGTTGGCTCACTCGAAGAAAGTTAGTTTAGGAGCAAAACTGTCATCACAAACTCATGCGTTAAACAAGCAAAAAAATGGAAAAAATTAGAAACAATTTTTGCTTGCCAACATTTATAAGCAATTGAAACATAAAAATAGTTTCTCGAATTTTAACACCAACAAACATGGCAGAGACATTCATTTTAATCCATTTTCAATCAAAATCCAGAGACAATGACCTTTTAACATAAGATTTCACACAGTGGCTTCCTTCTAAAGAGAGCAAAAGAAAAAACTTAACCTAGAACAACCATCATTCACAATGGTGTATTAAAGAAAACAGAAAATCATCATCTAGTAAGACAAGGACTTACAATGATCCTGAGATGATGAGAATCACCTCTATTACAAAGTTTCTGAGTTATGATGTCTTAAACACTCCCCCAAGCTTCACATCCTCTACATGGTCCATAAAAGTGTGAACTTCATTAAGTTCAGACACATCTATTCCTTGGATGTCAACCTTTGTGGCAGTGTTTCGGTCGAGATTGTAGTAAATAAGGTAAAAAGAGTTGTATGGATAATATGGAGACAACACGATTTCACCTGTCCGGGTGACTCCACGGACGTAAATCCCGACAGATGGAACTACATCCAGTGACAAAGTGGGTAGTACATATGTATGAGTCGACCATTCATGTTTCTCGGCATCTTCTAGAACGCACAACTGAAAACTACTACATCCATCAAAAGATCTGAGTGTAGCTAATTTATTCTTGTAGTTTACCAACCTTAGTCTCACGGAGTTATCTTCTATCTCAATAAGCTTAAACTTCTCGGACCTAAGATCAAAGCAAGCTATCCTACACTTAGCTTCAAACCCTTTGACCATGGCTGAATAATACAAAACACCACTGATACATATCCCGTCAAATAAAGGATAATGTGGTATGCTACACTCTATCATCCTCCACGACAGTTTTCCATTTCCTAATGTAAGAATCTGATGTTCCTCTGAGACCTTGTTTCTTCCATACTTTGATATTGACATAGACAAAAATTTGAATTGTTTATCGATAGGATCATACCCAAAAAAGCTCTTTACATCAACCCTCCTTGTCTTCACTCTTGGTAAGGTTAACGACTGTCCTGTGCTAGGGTTACATATCAGTATATCACCAGCAACGTCTCGGTCCTTCCCTTCAAGATCCGAATTTCTTTCAGACATATCAAGCCATGAACAGGGAGATGAATTTTCGAATACTGATGAGCATCATTATTAAAGGAGAAATTCATATGACAAGTAGCGGTTATAGGAGACGTATTCTCCATCGGATTATGAGGTTGAGGTGACGAATAGAATAAAATCTCACCGTCGCACGCGAACAAGAGATGTGGTCGAGTCGTCGCAGATCTGGTCAGAACTAGATCCGTGAAATCTGGACGGAGAATTATCGAAGCCCAAAGCTTCGAAACGCAGCGACATCTCGCTATGAATTTCGCTGGCAATCTGGAGAGTATCTCGATAATGAGATCGATTGGGATCAACTCTGAGTTTCCTCCTCCGTTAACTAAGCTCGGAGATCGTGAATCGCGTCGAGAAATGGATTGACGATCCTGTAAGATTTTCTGTCGCCGTGTTTTCATGGCGGAGACACTGTGTGAAACCCTAGAATCGCTACTGACGAATCACAATTTAGGGGTTTTAATCCAAGAGATGTATCTGATTTTTGTTTTTTTGTTTTTTACCGTCTGAGAAAATTTTAGAGAAAGGCAATTCTTTTTTTTTAACCGGCTGAGAAAAGCAACTAAATCACATTGTTTTGAAGAAGAAAGTATGCTAAAGTGAACAGACGATGATATGATTTGAAAAACTAGTTAATATATCCATTTTATGGTAGTTTGAAAAATGATTATTTTGATATAAGAATATCAAACTACTAACATAATTTGTATTACAAAAATGTACAATTAATTATTTTGATAAAGAATATCAAAATACCAACATAATTTTATTAATATTGTAATAGAAAATACAATATTAGGAATAAAACGTACCATAAAAAATAAATAACCTAATGTCATAACTATAAAGTTTCCAAAAAGCAATGATTATATATTTGTGTAGAGTAAAATAAAGAGATTTAATTAATTATTAAAAAAAGAAGAGATAATTGACACACGCATAGGGAAGAGATAATTGACAATTTGACACACAAAAAAAGAGAGAGAGAGACAATCCCATCCCAGAAAGTATATAACAAAAAAAGAGATAATCCATGAGACTATATGAAAATTCTTATAGTTTCTAAATATATATATTTTTTTTTGCTAAAAATTCTAAATATTTTGCAAACTGATAAAAGTTCCTTGAGAAGTTAATATATCCTAAAAACTTATCATAAGTGATAGATATAATATAGGTCTTTTCATAAGAAATTATAATGCTCACAAACACTTTAATATTTTAGAAGTTTTTGATAATATAATCATGAATTGTTCTCTAACC